GGGCATGAGGGGCTCACAGGGAGAGGAATGGAGGTGGCCCCACCAGGATGAAGGGCTGGACTCATTGGTGCAGAAAGGCATTGCAGATCCCACTTGAGCAAATGTGTGTGATGACATCCATGCCACGGAGAGCTGGAGGGGTGGGGGGAGACCAGAAGGGCAGAACCAGCTCTGACTGTAAATTGTGCACCAAAACCCTGACGTTTCAGTTCGAGGCTATTCCTTTACCAAAGCTGGACACATAGAGCCCCCTGGGCACACCGACACTTCTGAGACTTCCCTTCCCTTCCCTCTCCTGCCTGAGGGGTGATGCTCGGCCCAGCTCGGCCCACTCTCCTTCTCAGGTGGGGTTCAGTCCCAGCCCCGTCTCTCCCAGCAGCCCCGGGTGGGTGAGCAGAGGAATGGACTGGTTATCAGTCTCTGCTCTAGCACCTACTAAATGCCGAGTACCATGCGAGGCAACATCTGCTACTTTGCCTCCTGGCGGCTCATGCGGACGTCCTCTATCAAAACCCATGTGCACACTCCAGCATGATTCAGAGTCACTGGAGGGCTCGGCCAGGTCGCCCGGCCTTGTTCTGACTCAGGCCAAGACTTGCCCTTCTGACCAGTTCCCTGCTGCTGGGGGTCCAGGGGCCACACAGAAGAGCCACTGTTCTATAGTGTGCTCACCACCCTGCAGCGTCCTGGGACAGGGAGCTCACACTGTTCACATGCCAAGAGGATCGCAGGGAGGCGAGGCTCGGAGCTGCGAAGCGACCCACCCCCTGTTCTGCCTGGCTCATGCTTCCTTCTTGCAGCTCCTATTCCTCTAGCGACGTGTGGGTGAGTGTGGGGCTTGAGAAGCTCAGGGAGGGACTGGTGGTGTCCTTGTCGCCATGCCCCCCGGGCAGCAGGAGTTCCTAACACCCCGGAGGCAGCTGCTTCACAGAAACCAGGCAGATGGCCCCGCCTCCATGAATGAAGGTTGAGCTCTGTGTCTGCTGAAGGGATGGGCCTCAGCAATCCTTGAAATAAATGAATGAGTCCATCTGCCCTCTTACTCATTAAATTTACGTCTCCCATAGCAATTGCACTTGATGACCCTAGTTCTGCAGTTCACAAGTCCTGTGAGAGACGAGGTTACGGAGGCTCTGGTTAAAGTCACCACAGCACAGGAATGCTTGTCATCTGGGCATCGAGTATAGCTAGGACAAGGCTAAGCTGGCAGCCCCATCCTCAGCCCGGCCAACACCCCGTGGAGCACCCTGAGTGTTCAAGGACGTACACAGCGATGAGCACGGAGGCCTGTCCAAGGAGCCTCGGCCACTGTGAGTGCAGGGCCTCAAGGGCAAACCAAACTGCAAGAAGGATGTGCCAACTCAAGCCACCAGCAGGCAGCAGTCCTAGGCCCTTCGTAGTGGTTGTCAGACAAACCCAGTAAGTCTGTTGCTCAGAATACACAGGCTGCTTGGCGAAGGGCAGTGCTGAGCAGAAACCAAAGGCCAGGCGGGACTGGCCCTGGCGCAGGACGGTGGGGAGGAGAGCATGAGGCATCCCTACCTGAGGGCACAGCCAAGCAGGGGCTCTGCAGGGGGGAGGACAGAGCCACCCCAAGGCAATAGGAGAAGTGATGGAAACATCCGACTGCACTGACCACAGCAGTAAGGAGCGCTTCTCTGCGCCCGGCTCTGTGCCCCTGAGGGAGGCCGGGCCTCTGGGGACCTCTGTGCCCCCCTGGACACAGCGTGCCACCAAAACAACTCCCGAGCACAGCCTGGCCCGCTGCGGTGAGAGGTGCTGTTGCTGCACCGTCTGGAAGGCTGATGTCCAGGCACTGATGTGGCTCATCAAATGGGAAAATCAGTCCAGCTCAGCTGGCCACGCACATTAACATAAGTTTGTTTATCAAGTTACTAAAGATGAGGAAATACTCCTGGTGGGGTGGTAAGACAGATGCTCTCGGGCTATGCAAAAGAGTGTCTATTATTAAAAGAGCGTTTCTGGGCAATAACTGCAATGTTTACCAGTAAACTTTCATGCACATATTCCATTTCTGATGAACTGTCAAGAAAATAATATAAAATATAGACTATAACAATGTGCTTAGCAACATTATCTTAATAGATAATCTAATTGCCCTATAGTTGGTGATGTTAAATACATTAGGATATAACCAAACGGTTGGATATTGTTAAGTCATTAAAAATGTAGTATATATATGAAAAATGTTTTATGGCAAGGGAAGATGCTTATACAATCCTTTAGTGGTATCTCCTTCTGGTGACTGGACCGAGGCCCCTCTAAGGAGTCATCCCAACGTGACTCTCATTCCTTGCTGCCAGCGAAGTCACCCCTGCCTAAGCCAGTCAAGGCATTGCCTTGCCCGGCCACAGGCATTGGCTGGGTGTGGGCCGATGACCCAATGAGGAACAAGGAGACACCTGAGACTAACTGAGACTTCCTGGAAAAGAGGCTTCTGCTCCTCACCCACTGGGTAGATGCGC